AATTCTTGGGTTTAGGGTTGTGAGTAATTGTGGGTGAAATTGTGGGTGAGAGTGTGGGTGAGAGTGAGTGCAAGTGAGTGCCTTAGCCCTAGACAAACACCTATGGTCAACCCTAAGGTCAAGCAGTCCTATGGGAACTCTCCTTGAGCTCCCCCATGATGACCCCACCTATTAAGTGCTAAAGGTTATGACCAATATGTGAAACTTCAAGTAGAGCAAGGAGGAGTGTAGAATTTCTAATGGTGAGGGCTCCTTTTCTAGTTTTCTAGAAATAATCAATGGGAAAGTCCTATGGCTAGACCTTAGGCTACTAAAGAGGAAAAACTAAACCTCAACCAAAAGTGAGGTCAACAGAAAGGCAAGCTAGGAACCTCCTACCATCCACCATACCTCTCCAATTAAGGGAATGGATGACACTCTCAACCTTCCTTGTGAGGAAGTGAGTGGAATCATCAAAAAGATAGACCACGGTCCTAACAGACTTTGAGCTACCAACAGAAATCTTGAGACTTGGAGAACCCAAACAATGAGGAATAAAAACACCTCCAAGGTAAACCCCTCCAACAATTTAGGTTGTTTCCTAAGAGAAGAAAAAACTAAAGACAAGGAACAAAACCATCTAGCTACCCATTAGGGATGTAATTTGAACAGTCAGCAAGGACTCACTACAAAGGATGTGTTAAATAGTGTCTAAAATTTGCTTCTAAAATTTTAGACACATATATTTGCATCAAATTTTGTGATTGCTATGCAGTGCCAATTAATTTATGTTATTGATGGTAGAATTAATATTGGATTGCCCTCCAAATATTTGATGAAATGAGTGGTAAAATTTGCAATGGTGTTACGGCAGATTTTGAGACAGATTTGCATTGAAAAAATTTGATGCAAAAGCTTTACTTAAAATCATAAAGAAAAATTTGATGCCAAGTACGAAAAAATGTCAATGCAATGGACCTAAAAAACCCATCCTACATTCTTCATTTCATTTTCTCCTTCTTGCCTCCTCTTCTTCTTCCCACTACACTCGCCCGAATCCCTTGTATGTTCTTTGTAAACAGTCACCCAAAATCCTCATCTCAATATCCAAATACTCGCCCAAAACCCTCACGCAAGTTCCTTCAGCCTGATATGGTTTCCATTAGAGCAAGCTGGGATGGCAAAGAGCACACAACATCGACCACTGAAACTCCCATATTTCTCATCCTTCCACTGTACTTTTATCTATAAACATTGAGGAAGGTAAGTTTATTGTGCCATTATTTTTTATTTGGTAATGGGGTATGTATGTAAGAATTGAGTGGTATGGATAATAATCTTCATAAAAATTGAGCTTAGATGTTAGCTATCTAGATACATAAGTACTGAGTAGTATGTATGAAAATCTAATTGCATATGTAATATGGTATGTATGTAAAAATTGAAGTTTAGGTGTTAGAAATATAGATATATATAAGCATTGAGTGGTTTTTATGTATGAAAATATTCATAGAAAAAAAAAAGTTTAGGTGTTAGGCATGCAAATACATTAAGGTGATATAGATGGGCATGCTATTAGTATAATTCAAGATGGTTTGTTGAAGTGGAGGAATGCATCGGGTCTTGATTGGGGAAAAACATTACTACCTTTGAAACCTGGGTAGAGCAAGGGACAAAATTGATTGGGCTATGGTAGTTATGAAGAATAAACTAAGGAAAACTATTGAGTTGCATGTTATTATAGAACCAATCCACCAAGAGGAAGGTATGTCAGTTTTTTGCATTCAGGGTGGTACAAATGATGCAATAGAGAATATCACAAAGATTTTTGAAGAGGCTCTTCATGATATGGTTGAGGATGATGATAAGACTGAAAACTAATTTTTTTATTCATCTTCGATGATGATTTCTTCTAATGAAACTTAATAACAATGGTATGTAATTTTGGATGGATTAGTGGTTACTGCTACTTGCTACTTTTCTTCTTTTAGTTTTGTTGTTTTAGTTATAGACATAGCTACTATTTATGTTTTCCTTTTTTTGTTTTTATTTTTATTTGCACATTTTTATTTCTTACTTTTATTTATATTCATTATTATTTTGGATGTCAGTACCAATGTCCTTCCTTTATTTCCAAATGGCCACAGATGGTCAGCCATTTGAGAGTCCCGTATTAGAGGAACATTAGAGAGCACCAATCGTAGTAGAAGGGAGGAGGAATTTTCTTCTGCTACTGTGTCTGCACCTGCTTACCTATGCAATGCTGCCACACCTTCTGCGACACTTACTCCCTCACCCACACATCCCTGCTCCCCCTGGTGTTTCCTCACTAGTTCCAGCCTTACCTGCTTCAACACCTTATGAGGTTGACCCCTCGACTCCTGCCCCCACCCTAGATTTTCTGCCGGAAGGAGACTTGTAAGTTATTTTTAACATTATACTATGTTTGATCTTAATTTTATATATTTTTGTGCAACTAATATTTTTCTTAACCAGATTCATTCCTCAAATGATGCCCGTCACCTGTAGTATAGAGATAATTTGTAGCAGATACAATGAGCACCAGCTTTCTTAGAAGCAGATCCCAACAATCAATCGGAACTTATGGTTCAAAGAGTTTGAGGTATCATAACGCAATTTGCATTAGAATTGTAAATTTAATTTATTTTGTTATAAATTGATTTTTTTTTTTTTTGCCTTACAAAGATCCTTCACCTGGCTCCCAGAGCACCGCCACCAGATCTATCAAATCTTTGAGATTTAGGGCAAGCATCAACTTGGTTACATGTTCACCATAACCCACTAGAAGAGCGAGGGTCCAACTGAATAAGTGAGGAGCTCTGGCTTCAAATGGTCGTAGTGTGGACCTCTCCTACTTATGAGAGGAAAAGGGAGACGAATTAGGCAAACCGAGCGATGGAGGGGGTCAGGGGAGCTGTGCTCCATATTGGAGGATCAGTCCCCTATACGAAACACTACAATAAGGGGTAAGATTCTTTCAAATACTTTAAAATTCAATCTTTGAAGTAAATATGTGACGCTAACCAATCATAAGCGCTACACAAGATAAGGAGTTGAGCTGCGAGCCCTTCATTATGAAGCTATACGTTCGAACTCATCAGTACCCAGGGACACAACAATGAGTCTTTGAGCATTCTCGGTGGGTTACTGTAGGCAAAAAAAGAAGTTTAAAAATAACTTTGTTTTGACTCTTACCATTCAAAGTGTCAATTAAACATTAGTTTTAGTTTGCAGGAGTTTGAGTAGCTCTAAGTGAGGCACTACCCACATCTCTAGACTTCCGCCCGCAGCAGTGACAGTCACTCTACCACTATACAGTCTGTGTTTGAGCTTTGGACTCAAGCGACGAGAAGAAGAAGGGGAGGGTTTATGGACTTGGTGTGAAGCGCATAGCCTTTGAAGCCAAGATCCCTAGTGGTTCAGTACTGAGTTCTTCGAGCTCCTCACAGCAAAATCATGATTTTCTAGCCAGTCAGGTCACTATAATAAACGAAGAACTCTACCAGTTTCGTGAACTAATGCTAGAAGGCAAACATAGGGTCGAGGACTCTATAGCGCTCATAGCGGAGACTTTAGCTGATCACAAGCGGCACATGGCATCCATAGAAGAGGAGGAGGAGGAGGAGGAGGAAGGAGATCACGATTAGGAGTTACTTTCTATGTTTTTCTTTATTTTTCAGAATTACTTTGAACATATACTATGGATTTTCTTAGTTAATTCTATTGTTGTTATTTGGGACTACTTGTTACATTATATGACTTTATATTATTGATATTTATGTGAGCTATAATATGTGTTGATGTTGATTATCTGTGGTTGGATAAAATGTTGTTGTACATGCTTGTGGTGAAAATATAATTGATCTTTTGCATTCTTTTTTTTGTGGTATAGGATTGCATTTATTTTGCTTCTATTTTGCATTGAATAATCCAATGGTAAAATGATAATTTTTTTTTCATTGTTCTTCGATATTTTCTGTCGCTAATCCAAGGATAATCTGACACAAAGTTTAACATCTAATTTTTTTTACGCTAAGTCCGAACGTGCGCGTAGGCTTAACAAAAATTAATGCTAATTCGATGCAAATAAGATTCACAAAATTACGACTTATTGCGATGCTGAACATATGAAAATTATATTACTGACCTCCGATTTAAAGGCATAAAAATCTGACTTAAATACGCAAAGATGATGATAATTCTGAAATATTTTCAAATTAGCCTCTGATTTACTTCTGATATGTCAGATAAATTTGATCAATTTCTACAGTGACTTGGAAACTAGTCATGCTAAACGCACCAAAATAGTCTCTTAAAAGGCTCCTCAATGGAAGCACTCTTGAGGAGCTATATGTTGGATGCTTGGCCATGAATTCAGGCTTCTTTTGGCTTTCTTGCTCAATCTCTAGGTTGGATGGGTAGTTAGAAAGGGCCTGAGTGACAACTAGTGACTTGACAGGAATCCACGGTAATCTCTAGAAAACAAGATCTAGTGCGAGATCTAGTGCAAGTCAAAAACCAAACCAAGCAGCCTCCCATCATCTTGGAGGCAATGGCGTATGTCTACCTGTGAGGTGAAATGACGGACAAACACCGTGAGATGGTATCATCTAATTTCGCACCGGTGAAGGGAAAGATCTAGTAATGCACAAAAGGGTGGCATCAAAATGTAGCATTTTAAAGTTATTTCAATATAATCTATGAAATATCTATTAAAGCTTAAAAAAACTGTGCTTTTTACAATTCCAAAACTATTAATTTTAACTGGTTAAAAAAAATCATAAATATGTGCATTAGATAGTTATAAAACACCAATTAAGCAACACTAGCATTCAGAGAAATTGAAAAGAGAGAAGTTTGAACTAAATTTTCTTCTTCTATTATTAAGGAAGAGTAAAGAACAACAAATGCACAAATTATTTCCCCTCCTAACCCCCATATACAGAAAAGGGGGCAATGAATAAAAAACTAAAAAAAAAAAAAACCTTTACATCCTTTACATTTCAACCGCATCCCTTCCTTATAATTAATTTATAAACATTACAACAAAAGTTGCATTACCCAAAATCTAGCCTTGTAACCTATGGCAGCAGTATACTGTACAAAGGTTAAACTGCGTAGTCACTGAATTCATCATACACTTTAGTGGAAACCCTTGCATCTAGTCTTGCCGAAACCCCTACGGTCGTCGTCCTCACAGAATTCAACCTTACCATTTGGCAGTACTCGGGATCATCTTGCCTCCCATCAAACCGGATCCACTGGATCATGTTATGATACATCGGAAAAAACCTAATTTGAATCGCGGTGAAGGTGAAGTATGGAATGAGCGTACAGATCACAACGAAGAGTGTCGTGATCCAGAAAGATGGTGCCGGAGCTAGCGCCTCTTCAAACAACTGATAGGCAATTGTGGAAATGGTAGGAGTAATTGCTCCATACGCAAGGAGAAAAATATACCATAAGGCGATGCCGCCCCAAATGAATATGTGCTGAATGAGGGTGAAATAGCTGACAGAGATTGCCATTTGGCAATTGACTACCCAAACCACGCAAGTGTACATTGTGCCACCAAGAATATCACGACTAACAATCTCACCACCCTTGCGGAATGCCTGGTACTGGTAAGCACTTATGGTCAAGAAGAAGATCATGACGGCGCTTATGATGCCATTGAAAATCCAACTGAGGACTCTGCGCCAACTGAAGAGGAGATTCTGTACACCTTCTTGGTAAAGCATGGGAAACTGCAAACGAGTTTTAGATGGAGGAAATTAGTAAACATGAAGATGCTGAGGGTCATATTGAATTGATGAATTGTGGAGTAATAAAAGTTGTACCTTGAGGCAAAATCGAGCGGAAACATCCTGGTCAAATACGCCCAAAGCTAAAACTGGAAGAGACGTGAAGAAAACATTGTACAATGATAGAAACCAATCATCATAAGCAGGTTGTCCGGAGAATGTTGTGTATGCCTCGTACAAGAAGATGGTAAGTCCAAATGTTATGTTCTTGTAGAAAAAGTAGCAGATCTGCCGAGAAGTAAGCAAAAATTTCAGAAAAAAATGATCATGAAAGATTAAAGTTTAGTACAAGAGGAGTGATCAGTACCATTGATGATATCCTCCTGTAACACCAATGTCCGTGCACTAGTAGTAAGCGTTCTAGAAAGCGAAATTGGGCAATTGCAACATCACTTGCCATAACTGCCTGCAATCATATAGTTTTGGAATGATCAGAGAGAAAGGAAGAAATATTACATCAGTACTACGCACGTTATTTTTAAGTGCGTAGCCAATCAAAACACGCCACGACATCTCTCGCGGCGGAGTAAGAAAAACGGCGCAGTAACACGGAGAATATTCCCTCCTGTGTTATTCATGTGTTATTGCGCGTTATTCATGTGTTATTGCATGTTATTCATGTGTTCTTGATGTGTTATTGTGTTATTATAACACCAAAAATATTCTCATGATACAATAACACATGAATAACACACAATAACACTTGAATAATACGGGAAATATTCCCGACAGAGAAAAAAAAGGCGCACTAACACGGAGGAATATTCTCTCCCGTGTTATTCTTGTGTTATTGTGTGTTATTAATGTGTTATTCATGTGTTATTGTGTTATTATAACACCAGGAATATTCCCAGGATACAATAACACATGAATAACACACAATAACACATGAATAACACGGGGGAGAATATTCCCCGTGTTACTGCGCCGTTTTTTTTTTCTGCGTCGCGCGGGGTATCGTGGCGTGATTTCATTGGATACGCACGTTACTCTACGTGCGTAGTACTGATGTAATATTTTTTCGAGAGAAAGAGATAGAGATAGAAAAAAAGAGAGTGCAAATAACAAATATTACGAACCTGCATTCCTTCAGCTCCACTGATACCAATCCCAATGTCTGCTTCTTGTAGCATGCCGACATCATTGGCTCCATCACCAATTGCTAATGTTACTTTACCGGTGCTAGTTTTAACCAGTCTTGTTACCTGAATAATTTAAGTGATCGAATGATTAAACAGATTTGAATGAGGATTAAGAAAATATGGCCCGAGAAAAGACTCTTACAAGGGCCTTTTGCTTGGGAGAAGAACGACAGCATATAACAGATCCGCAGCCAATAGCTAACTCGAAGAATAGATTCTTGACAGCATCATCTAGAGCATATGCAAGGGACTTTCCATCAATTATCAAAGAGAATGACTCTGAGCTTGAAGAACTCATTAGTTTCTTCCCTTCTGTTATTTGCCGGGCAACACTTTCCATTGATGCCTGAATTATAGTAATAACATAAGAACAGTGAGAAGATGAGATTAAAGCCAGTATGTTTGCAGTCTGCATAGGTACAATTAATTAGAAATAGTACTTAAATCATAAAAATAGAAAAGCAAAGCAATTTTACCTTGGAAATGGCGACTTTGTTCCCTTCTTTCTCCAGCAGGGCAATATCTGGAGAGTCCAGTGTAATTATTATCTGCTTCATTCCTTGTCTTAAAAGGCTGCAGGCATATCTGCAAATTTATTGATGTTAGAGAAGTTGTAAATGATCAGCAAGATACATTTAACTGAAATCGGGAGTTTGCACTGAATGTGTACCCGATGTTGATGGCAGTCTCCATCTTGTCACCAGTAAGAACCCATATCTTGATTCCAGCTTGAGCTAATTTATCAATGCATTCAGGAACCTACGGCAAATTTAGAAGTTAATTATTTTCCACATTATTTTATAGAATAAAGGAAAGGTTAAGTCAGAATTTTAAACAAGTTTTTCTGCACTCACCCCAATTTGCAACTTATCTTCAACAGCTGTGGCACCAAGGAGAATCAAATTATTCTCAATCAGCTCAGCGGCTGCATCAATTTTTTCTTCCCTGTCAGCACTGACTGAGTTCTTGGCTTCCATAAATTCCTTATTGAATATTTGATATTCCTCTTCATCAAGCTGACGGTAGGCAAGCACCAATGTTCTCAAACCAGCATCAGCATATTTATTAATATGCTTCCTGGTCTTTCCTTCAAACTCCCTTCCATCCTTAGCAAGCCTTTCAAACATCACACTGTTCATATTGGGAACAAATAACTAAAATTGTTAATTAAAAAAATTAGAAATTAAGAAGTATAATTTAACATCCCATGATTGCCACGCACCTGTCGGCACCTTTGCTAAGAAGCAACAATTTCCCCTCTGGGCTTCGAACTATCACAGACATCCTTTTTCTTGCACTATTGAACTCTAAGATGTTCAAAAGCCTGTACGATCTGAAAAAACGAACATGCCATGAAATTGTTTTCTGTGTTCTTATAAATTGATAGGCATCAGATAGCATCATATATCAAATTAATCTTCACTAACAAAGGATGGATTACTGACCTTTCAACTGTGTGTCCAGTCAAGGGATCCAACTCATACAAAGAAATGGATGTCTGCGTTCTCTTGTAGAACTGAAATCCAATCTCTCTTGCTGCGATAACAAAGGCGGCCTCATCCGGCGATTCAGCTTCATATACTATCTTTCCTGAGGCATCATCGACTTCTGGTATAGCAGTATGGCAGATTGCCAGTAATCGAAAAAACTTCTGCAAGACATCAGAATGCTGTTCACTGACCCATTTCCCATTCATGATACGATGATCTTTAAAGTTGAAGCCCTTGACTGCAGGCCTACTAATCAAATTATCATCATCATTTTCCTCTTCAGAAATCAAAGGGAAGCCTTTTTTTTTAGCCATTGCCCTCTCAACTTCTGTAACTCCTCGGCCATAAGCAATACCAGCTATTGTGCATTTGATGAACTCCATTGAGTTGCATGTTAGTGTTCCGGTCTTGTCTGATAGTATGGTGTCGACTTGGCCTAATTCCTCATTCAAATTTGACGTGCGAGCATGGGCAGGCTTGTCAGATTCCTCATGATACATTTGTAGGTCTTGATTGATAAAAATGGTCTGCAAAACTTTGACTATCTCTATGGACACATACAAAGAGATAGGAATGAAGTAACCATAGAGCATCATTGCAGTGAGAAAATGCAAGATTGCTGCAAGAGCGGCCCTTTTGGGATCATAGAAGACATCAGTATCATCTGGTCGGAGATACCATCTCTTCATCTTGCCATTGCTTATGTCCTCTTTTGTTTTAATACCAAAGAAGATTGACCCAACGCTGGCAATTAAGACCAAAGAAGCCATCAAGAGATATATAAGTTTGTCCATTTTCTTTTCAATTTTGCTTCTTTTGGATGGTGGATCAGTGGCATTCTGCATGACTTTTGTATCGTGACCAGTGAATATCACAACCCCATAAACATAATCAGTGTTTCTCAATTTCGAATCCCGAAGAAGAAGCTGCTGTGGTGAGAGAGGGTATTGTTGGCCCTCAAGTTCCATACTTCCAACAAAAGTATAGAGATTTGCATTTGGGTCTTCACATGTTATTATTGCTTTAAACTGCTGAAAGCTATAATCATTGTGTAAATTTGAAGTTGTCTCCATAGCCTGCTTCATTTTTAGATTTGTCTCTCCATCAAGATTCATGGTTTCAACGTAACAAATTGCTTCATCATAACTGGATGAAAGTAAGATAAGATCAGCAGGACAAAATTCATACTTTTACGTCTCCAACTCTCAACTTCTTCCATTCTATATCCTCAAAATTTCCATCTCCACGATGCAACTTTACCTTCCTATTGTTCATTTCAGTATCCTAGAAGATATATAGCACATAAGCTTAGATTTGAAGCATATATGGACACAAAAATCTTAAAACATTTTAGATAAAAAATAAAGCATAATTAAGACAAGAAAATGGTTAATTTGTAGACAGATCAAATACCGAGCATTTCTGTTGCAATGATTTTTCAAATAACATGCTTCAAATCATGAAGAATCAGATATTAACTATGACAATTGTGCTTCCAAAGTTTAGTTCTTGTATATCAAAGAACTTTTCATAGTTACCGTTATTTATAAAACATAATGTGATAGAAAGAGAAGAGGAGATGACTCTTTTTCATGGGATGAAGGATGATCCACTGTGAAAATCCAACGTCAATAAAGCATAAGGGGAACCTATAATGAACCATTATGACAAATCGGTAACAATAGCCTATAACAAAATGCCGCATTACGCCCGCGCCAAATCAGGTGGATGCAAAAATAATAGAGATAAAAATACATTTTTTAGACTATGCTAACAACGGTTGAAGAACATTCATCTTCCTTTTTTTTTTTTAACAAAGTTTATTTTTTAAAATAGTTTTAAATTATTAAGCTAATAATCAAAAAATTTCCAAAAAAAAAAGTCAACGATAGAATAAAGCATTTCAAACTGCAACTCAAACTGTAAAATCTGCCATTTTCAGCAAATACCCATCTTGAAAACAACCTCTTTACATCAATACAAAAACAAATTATGAATTAAAAGCTATTCGACAAGAGCTTTGATTAGTTTCGCACATAGCAGCTTCAATTAAACAAAGTGGCACATTCAGGGGCGAGAGAGAAAGAGAGAGAGAGAGTGAAGAGGTCAGCGTGTACAAAATTAAATAATTCTTCCCATAAGTACGAAAAAACAATAGATAGAAGTACCTGTTGGAACCTCCTCCAATCTTCAACAGCCTCCTTTGCCATGGTTGCTCCAATCACAACAATTAGAGGCAGAATTGCACTCCCAGCACTGTAGGGAGCCAATGGAGTGAAGGCAAGGCATCCAGTAACAAGAAAATAAAAGTTTGCGACCCTTCTGAACTGCTCAAACAAAGACTTGGGTAGAAAAGTAGCCAAATTGTATTTTGTAGTAGAAACATAGTTCAATCCATAGTTGAGATTGTTAGCCTCAAAGCAATCCGGATCATTGGCGAAAGTCACTCGCGAGAAGCCAGGGCCTCCTATCTGCGATTCCTCTACTTGTTGATGAGATTTCCCACAGGTGAAGCTAAAAAGTTTACTAATATGAATCTTCTTCCTCTTCCCACCACCCATAGCTTTCAGCAAATATGAATCTAAGAACGCAAAAAGCTCCAATCTTCAATAGGCTGAAGTTGCAAACATTTTCAGCAAATCTCCACTATCTGAATCCTGTAAATCCGTCCAGCCAACAGCTCTAAAAGCCCCCCCTTTTTTGAGGCTTTCTTCAGAGACGACGGCGACCTGTTCAACTTTCAAAGGCCAAGGGCCTTGTTGTTGACCCGGGCAAAGGAGAAAACTTTCTCAAATACGAGTAGCACGTGGGATAGACCTAGGTGAAAACCCTGAGCTCGGAGATGGGGAAGGCTTCGGCTCGCCACGCGGCAATAACTTCAAAGAAGCTCCTTTTTCTAGTCCAAGTAATTATATTTCCCGGAAGCAGAGGGAAGAAACCGAGCATGTGGTAAACCGAAATACACCAGAAGAAAATTGATGATTTGGTTGCAATTTTCATTATTTTTTTATTGCTGATTTATAGCTGTGAAGATTACGATTTAAAATAATTATTTCAAGTGGTTGGCATGATTAAATGCCTTGACTTATCGTTTGTGCAGATCAAATGATATCTCAAAATTAATCTGAAATTGACCATAGCTTTTATTTTTTATTTTGTTTGCACAATTATGACTTTTAACTTTGTATAAAGAAACATTTTTAATAGTGTAAATAGAATATTAAAATAGTATAATTAGACAATTTGTTTTAAGCAAATTATGATAAAAATGACATTTAATAACGTTCTATTTAAGCCAAGTACTCTTAAAATTTAAATTTTAAAATTTATGAACACATTCGTGATGGCCTTTTTGAATTCTAGACTTTCAATTAAAAAAAAATAGAATATGTTCAGTCAAATATATGCTTAATTATAGTTTATTTTTAGAATAAATAATGTCAAAATTAATGTTTTTTTTGAAATTTTATTGGCTTACTATTACCAATAATGCTATTTTCTATGCCAATATAATGATTTTGTTTATGAATGCCTGTTATAAATAAGTTTTACTTTGGAAGCTTTCTGCCAATTAATTAAAACAGTCTGCAAAAACTAATCATTGTTTTGATTATAGAAATTTTCTTTTCAAATTAATTTTTGAACTTTAAAAATAAAAACTGTATTTGAATTTGTGCTATAAATGTAATATTTTAACTGTTTTTTTTTTATTATAATATTGTATGTAGGAAAATTATCGGCATGAATCTCGAGGCAATCAAACGATATAGAACGAAAAAAAACGAAATTCAATAACATTGCAGAGATTTCGAGAGCTCGTGAAACCGATCGGCTGATGATCATCATCGGACCAAAGAAATGCTGATCGGCCCGAAACGACTACTTTACTATGGATTTTATTATATCTTAAGTGTTTTAAGTTTCATTAATGAATTAAATTAGATTTTGATGTTCTTAGGATTTCAGCATACTTAAATTACTCTTCTGGTTTTCATTTAATTTTATATAAGGTTGCGTCAGAGAGGCTTATAAATTTTACAAAATTTCTACAAGGTGTTTTAAATAATGAGTTGATTACTAATATTCAAATTTTGGTTGATTAAAGTTAATAATATAATACAAAATTTGGTTTTCATGATTTTGAGTAATTACAATTTGCCTTAAATTTATATGTGATTTGACTTGAACTTTAACTTCACGATTTAAGGTCATGTATTAATTAGGTCCAATTATTAGGATTTAAAGAGTTTAATTTACTCTCTTGATTAAGTTTTGGAGACCAAGGGCTAAAGTGCAATTTTATATTTTTCACAAATATGAAGTGATTTTTGAGTTTTAACAGGTGGAATTGTTATTTTAGCTCACAAGTTGAATGCTTTTTATGTCCTTTTATTTCTCAATTGATTTTATAATTTCTTTATTTTTGTTTTAATATGTAAAATTATTTTTGTGATCAGTTACTATTTTTACAGAAAATTAGGGTTTACATTTTAAATGGGTCTTCGAAAAAAATTAGGAAATGTTCTCATTGATATGGATCACAGCATATCCAAATTTCATTGAATTTAGCTTAAGACAAGGCTTGGCATGTCATTTAGTGGGGTGCCATGGGTTTAAATTTGAGTCATATGGATTTTAGGGTTGACTTAGGTTTGGATGATGGGTTAGATAGGTTTAAAACTTGGTTTGGATTTGGGTTTGGACTTTTGTTTTAGACTTGGCTTTAGACTTCAGTTTGGACTAAGAATTGGTTGGCTAAGAATTTAGGATGGGCTTTAGAAACTTTAAAATTAAATTTGGTTTCAGTATGGTTAATTTATTTTAGTTATTTGTTTAAATTAAATTTTCATAGTTTTAATGAGTGGTGAGGTGATTCAATTTTTATCATTATTTATCAATTTTGGAATTATGAGAATGTTGGTGGCGTGATTTCCGATTTTTTGACTTATTTTTAATAAATTCGGATTGATTAAATTTTGATTGGTTGTTTTTAATGAACTTACTTATTTTATTTTTTATAATGAGATTTGATTTTGTTTATGGATTCATTCTTACTTGACTTTGGTAGGGTTTGATTAAGTTGATTTTCATTAACATTGGATTTAGTGAATTATGATTAATTTTAGTGAATTTAATTGGATTAATTTTAAGTTGATTCTAATGCATCCATTTTTTTTTTTTGAGATTACTGGAAATTGGTTTAACTTCGTTGAAATTTATTTTAATAAGTAATCTTAATGGATTTTAATAAGTTGATTTCAATGGCTTAATTTTAAAGGATTTAATTTTGTTCAAATTGATATTAATACATTTATTTTTTGCTGACATTAATCTTAATGGATTTAATTGAAAAAGGTTTTAGTATTTTTAGTTGAAATTGACTTCAGGGGGATTTAATTTTGTTGATCTTAATTTTAATGTATTTTTTAAATTTTTAATCTGGATTTTGTCCAATTTTAATTTTAATTTATATTTTTAATTTAATTGGTGTTCTTTTCATTTTCTCTTTTCTTTTTTAATGGATAAGCCCTATCTTTGCTCAAAGTGAGGCTCGCAGTCAATGTGCGCATTTACCAAAAGAGTTGAAAATGGGAAGTGCAAAGTGCCAAAGAGACCTAAGTCAACAGGGTCAATGGGTTTCTAGGGCATTTCCAACCTTATGGGTAGTTAACTTTAGTCTCAATGATTTGGCTCTAACTAGCTTAGACAAAAGTTAAGGATTTGAATCTAATCATATAAAACCATAAGTAGTGAAGAAATGTCTGACATTATATTTTAGTTTTGGTCCCACGACTAGTATTCTAGAAGAGCCACTAGGAAAACCCTAAGCTAGACCTTAAGCTCTAGTGAAAGAAAGGATAGGAAGGATCTCATACAAAAATTGGGTCAACAAATGGACCCCAAATATATGTGGTGCATTAAACAAGTATACCACATGTATATTGATCTAATTAACAAGATCTAAAGGATGTCTAAGTAATAATACTTAGGACCAAATAAAAATTGAGAATGAGTTGGAGTATGTTGGATTTTTCACTGTTAAGGCAAATTTAGTTTGAGAAAACTTAAGAACTCTTAGGTTGGACTTTGGCTTCGGACTTCGCTTCGGACTAAGATTTTGTTAGTTAATAATTTAGGATGGGATTTAGAAAACTTTAAATTAAATTTTGTTTCAATTTGGTTAATTTATCTTAGTTTTTTGGTTAATTTAAGTTTTTAAAATTTTAATGAGTGGTGAGGTGATTCAATTTTTATCATTAATTATCAATTTTGGACTTATAGGAATGTTGGTGGTGTGATTTCTAATTTGGTTGAATTAGTTTTAATAAACCTGGATTAATTAAATTTTGACTATTTTTTTTTAATGAATTTACTTAAATTATGTTTTATAATGAGATTTGATTTTGTTTATGGATTAATTCTTATTTGACTTTTGTAGGGTTTCATTAAGTTGATTTTCTTTTGCATTGGTTTTAGTGAATTATGATTAATTTTAGTGAATTTAGTTGGATTAATTTGAAGTTCATTCTAATGCTTTCACTTTTTATTTGTTGAGATTGAAATTTATTGAGTGTTTCAAAATTTTTACAAGATTACTTTGAAAATTGGAATGTCGATAGTAAAATTTAAATTGAAATTTCTAATGCTTTCAAGATTACTAATTAAAATAAATTGAAAATTCTAATGCTTTCAATATTAAAAATTCTAAATTCTAATGCTTTCAAGATTACTTATTAAAATAAATTTCAAAATTTTTAATTAAAAATATTTTTACAAGCAAGATATGAAATGCCGAGAGTAATCATTACCGATGGAGGATATCATTTTAGAAATGTAAAAATTGTGAGATTAGTGGAAAAATATAATATAATGCATAAAATTACAACTGCTTATTATCCCTAGACTAGTGGTTTGGTAGAATTGTCTAATCGCAAAATTAAAAGAATTTGAAAAAAAGTGTGAATCCTAATAAAATCGATTGGTCTGCAAAATTAGATATTGTATATGAGCATACATGACAGCTTATAAGACACCTATAAGCATGTCCCCATACAGATTAATTTTTGGGAAGACTTGTCACTTACCAATAGAATTGGAGCATAAAGCTTATTTGACTATTAAGGAATTCAATTTTAATTTGAAAGATGTTGGTGAGAAAAGATTACTACAATTGAATGAGCTTGAAGAAAGTAGGAATGAATCTTACTATAATGCTCAAATTTTTAAGGAAGGAATGAAAGAATGACATGATCGAAAGATAATAATAATAAAATTTGAGCATGGACAGGAAGTTTTATTATACAATACAAGATTGAAATTATTTCCTGGAAAACTGAAGTCTAGGTGGAAAGGGCCACTCAAAATTGTCAAAGTATATCCCTATGGAGCAATTAATATTGAAAACCCCAATACTGGAAGAATATTTAAAGTGAATGGGCACAAATTGAAACCATATTTTGATGTTCAAAAACCAATTTTTAAAGAGACTGTAATGTGGGGTCACTCAGAATAAAGACTTTGAATGACGGGCTCACGAAATTAAACCAAGCGCTTTGTGGGAGGTAACCCATATTTATCGTAGTTTATTCTGGTTTTATATTTTACTTATAGTAATATACTTGTGCTTTATAAATTTCATGTGTTTGAAAAATTTGACATTGAGAAAATATTTAAAAACATCTTTATTTACCTAATTGCATTAAAAATTGAAATAAAAAAATTGAGAGTTTATTGGAACAAAATCAAAATGGCAAAATTTTTGGAATTGGTGCATGATGTGCCACATTGGCGCATGATGCGCCATTTTCCAGGAGCTGGCACATGATGCACCAGAATCGGCGCATGAAGCATC